GGGGTGGGTGTGAGGGTGGAGGGGGTGGGTGGGGTGGCGGGGCAGTGGGGTGGGTCGGCGGTGGAGCAGCGGGTGTGGGGCGTGGCCCAGGGCTGCGGCAGGAAAGCTGGACAACGCGCTGCAGAGCCCCACGTGCTGGCACTGCCCAACGCTGCCGCTGCCCAGAGCCAAATACCAGTGCTGCACCGGCCGGCCGCCAGCTGGGCTCACCCGCCACCGCCCGCATGCGGGGGTAGTCGTAGTGGCGGGTGTAGGCAGAGGCACCCGCAACGATCAGCTTGGGCCTGCGGGCGGGAGGGCGGGTAGCAGGATGGGGGGCGGCAGGATGGGCGGCAGGATAGGGGGCAGCAGGTGCCGAGGACTGTTGTGCCAGGGGCCGGCTCATTGCATACGAGGGCTGCGGCCCCCAGGTTCGCCACTCAGCCAGCCCCCGATTCAGCCCCTGCAGCCAACCATCCTCTCAATTCCACCCCTCCAGCCTCCCAGCCTCTCAAGTCCACCCCCTCCAGCCTCCAAGCTTCCACCCCTCCTCCACCCCACCCCACCTGAACAGCGTGGCTGTCTTCTCCATCATGTCGTAGTCGATGATGCCGGTGGACTCGTCCAGGCGGTACGGCATGGTCTGCACAGGCAGTACAGGCGGTACACGCAAGTCGACCAGCAGGCCGCGCGAGGCGCTGCACCCCCCCTTGCAGGCGATGCTTGCTGCGCCAGGCGCCGCGCCCAACAACACCCTGCCGCCACAGCGCCGTGGGAGGCAGTGTCGTGGCCTGGTGGCAGCCGTTTGGGGACTGCCCTGCCCAGCTGTACCGCCAGCTGTACTGCCAGCTGTACCGTCAGCTGTACCGCACCTCGAAGAAGATGGAGGTGGCGGAGATCTTCTTGGTGTCTGTCTGGTAGCCGTGGGACAGGTGGCCGCCTGCAGCCGGGGAGGGGGGCGGCAGCAGCACGGCCGCGGCTGAGGGCGCATGCGGCCAGCCAGCCGCCACCGGCCCGGCCTGCGCATCTGCCGGCCGGGTAGCCGGGCAGCCAAACGCCAGCCAGCGCCAGCCGGCCAGCTGCCCGCCCACCGTGCGGCAGGTCCAGCGCCATGATGCGGTCGTGAGGCTTGAGCAGGGCGGTGTACACCTGTGTGCCGTGGGAAGGCGCAGGGCGCAATGCACACGGCACAGCACATTCCTCATCCAAGAATGACCATGCAGGCCAGTTACATGCAGGCCAGCCTGGCTCCCCACGTGCTGCTGCATCCACCCATCCATCCATTGATCCCTCCAGCCAGCCGGTCAGGCGGCCGTCCAGCCCTCCAGCCAGCCACCAAGCCCGCCCCGCCAGGCCACATCGCCGCCGCCGCTGCCGCCGCCGCTCCCGTCCCAGCCTGGCACCGGCGCACCCCCGCCAGCCGGCCCCACGGCTGGCCTCGCTGCCAGTCCCCTCCGCGGGCCGCCCTCGCTGCCAGCCCCCTCAGCGGGCGCCCGCACCTGGAAGTTGGAGGGCGAGCCCGACAGGCTCTGCACGTTGACCCCCCACTTGGCTGGGTCGAGGCGGAACGCCTCCAGGGCCCGCTTCTGCGGCAGGGGTGGGAGGGGGTTGGGAGCGGGGTGAGAACGGAATGAGAGAGGGGTGCGGGGGCAGAGGGCAGAGGGCATGGCTGAAGGTGGGAGGGCAAGCGCCCGCCGCTGCTGCGCCGCAGCCAGCTGCCTCCCGCACGGTGGCGGCCACGGTGCCGGAGGCACGCCCGGCAGCGTTGAGCCCGCGCAGTAGGACCGGAGGGGCAAGGCTGTAAGGGAGAGGAGGCGGGAAGGAGGGGGCGGGAGGGGGCGCACCTGGCACAGGCGCTCTGCTTGGTCGATGAATTCGTTGCCGCCGTAGTAGCGGGCGCCTGGGTAGCCCTCGCTATACTTGTTTGTCATGACTGCAGGGAGAGGAGGCAGGCAGGCAGGGACGGCACACGGCAGAGGCGTGAGCGCCTGCGCATGCATGTGTGCGTGCGTGTGTGGGTGCAGGCACAAGCCAGCGCCGCCTGCCGCCCGCAGCGCCCACGGCGGTCCACGGCAGGCTGGCCAGCCCTCTACAAGCGCGCAGCGCAGCCCGCAGCCGCAGCACGGCGCACTGTACCGCAGCACCCCGTAGCGCAGGGCACCCGCCCAGCAGCCGGCGGCACACACAGCCACATGCATGCATGCCTGTACTAGGCACCACGCACCCGACCCCACAGCCTCCATCACGCTGGCCGACACAAAGTTCTCAGAGGGGATGAGCTCCAGCCCCTTGTACTGCCTGTTCTTCTCGTGCTCAATGATGTCGTACAGCTCCGGGTCCACCTCAGCCAGCCCCGAGTTGAGCACCCGCGGCCACTGCACGCACGCGCGGGCGGCGCCCGTCAGCGGCGTCGGCGTCGGCGGCGCCTCGGCGTCGACGTCGGCGGCGGAGATGCGGCAGGATGGACGCGGCTGCTGCGTTGGTGTGCATCCGTCCGGCTGTGGCATGTGCGGTTGGTGCAGCGGGGCAGCCAGCCGGCCGGGCTGGCAACCGCCAGGCGGCGGCGGCAGAGGATAGTAGGCTCGCCCGCTGCCACCGGCGGCGCCTCACCGTGACGTGCTTGCGGGCGGCGTCGCCCGAGAACCTGCTGTAGTCTTCCTCATTGCTGGAGAACTGCAGCAGGGCGCGGCAGGAGGGTCAGTGGCGGCCGGGCAGCGGGCCAAGGCCAGCCGATCACCACGCCTCACCTGGCTGGCAAACGCCCGGGAGCTCGATCCCTGCACATTGCGCACATGCGATTGAGAGTGTTGGCGGAGCGGGGAGCCGCCGCGGGCCCCGCAACCAGGCCAAACTCACCAGCGTCTTGCTGAGGCCGGCAAGGCCCCTGCGGCCTGAGCGAGCCACCTGGAGCAGCGTCATGGCTGCACAGGTCTGATCGAGCTCCAATGTGCGTGGCGCTAGGCCGTGGGGTGGCATTTTGAGGTGGCCGCTGGATGCCAAGTGGCGGGCGGGAGGAGTAATCCACCCCCTCAGGGTGCAGCCTGAGCTCACAGTCCACTGCCCCACATTTTGGAGCTCTGCATTTACACATGTGATCCAGGCGTGCCATGCATTGGGCGGGCAGCAGAATTGGATGTGCCCCGGCACGTCAGCCGTGCCACCGTCGCCGTCGTTGGGCGGCGCCAACCCGCGCCACATCGGGCTGCATATGCTTTGTTTTGCATTAAAGTAGCCGTGGTTCAAGGGAGTGTGAATGTGCATCCAAGCAGGCCATCCTGCCTTTGCGCAAAGGCATCGCTGCAAGGAGCCGCATGGTGGCCGCACTTGCGGTGCCGGTGCCGGCAAGCAGCAGCGAAGGCTGCCCCACACTCTGTTAAGACTGGCTCCCGACATTTGAGCCTGGGGCCACAGAAGGAGCTCTGTACCCCTGCAGGTCTGCCATGTAGCCACAAGCGGCAGTACCTGCGGTCGGCGCCGCCGTGTCGCCGAAGAAAGTGCTGCTGGAGTGGTCGACATGCGCTGCATGCGCGGGCATTGAAGCTCCGCACATCGCCAGCAGCTTTGGACAGGACTACATCCGCAAGCAGCGTCCCGCGTGTTCTCACTGAACAGCCTGCCCGCGCGCTCTCTCGCTGCCAGGCCTCCTGCGCCTCCTGTGATCTCCAGCAGAATGGGCTCCGCCGTCAGCAGCAGCAAGGACAGCAGCCGGTGACCGCAGTTGAGCTCCTGCCGGGCGTGCGGCCACAACCGAGCAGGCTCCCGCACAGCGTGCTCCTCCGCTGCGGTTGCGAGCGAACCGCAAAGCACGAGCGGGCAACCCCCGGGCTGCTGCGCCCCCACCCCACAGCTGAGCAATTGCCGCCCGAGGGCGGTTGACGAGGTGCGGCACCTGCTGCCACACGCTGCGCTGAAGCCTGCCTGTGGCCCTCCATTTGCCTCTGCCTTGCTCCTGATACATTGGCACGCGGTGTACATGCAGGCAGCGGCAGCATGGTGTCGCGGTTAGCTTTCGACGCGATGTCGGCGACGGTGCTGGCGCTGACCGCGTTGATAGGTGCTAGCGGTGCCGCCGCCGCATGCCCCGCTGCTGCCGCTCCTGGCCTGCTAGTTGGCGCTTGCATGCAGGCATCCGAGTGCAGCAACACGAGGCAGCCCGCTCGTCCTTGTTGCTGCCCAGCATTGAATGGCAGCGCCGGCCGACCCTGCTGCAGGCGCCTACACGCCTGCCTACCTGTCGAGGCGCGACAAGCTGTCCGGCGGCTCAGGCCGCAGCCTGACGTACGTGCTGGGCAACATGCTATCGGCAGGCAAGTGCCGCGCCCCACGGCCTGCACCCTTCCCCACCTGCCATCACATGCCATCTCGACTGCTCTCTGCTGCTGCTGGGCGGCGGCGCTGCGCGTTGGTGCGCTCCTCACCCCACCCAAACCCCACCCGCCTGCCCGCTGGCTCCTGCAGGCGTTATGGTGTCTGCCGGCTTCTGCCACCTGCTGGGAGAGGCGCTGAAGCAGATGCCGCGCATGACGGTGCGGCTGCTGGCGCCGGCGGGCCTCTGCAGGCCTTGCACGCTGGCGCATGTGCGCCCATGGTGTGCTGCTCGCTCGCTGCGTGCTCAGCCAGTGAAGGCGCTTCAGTGCCTCCCTCTGCCTGCCGCAGTTCCCACTGGCCCCGTTCCTGTGCGGCACCGGCTACCTGTTCACCCTGGTGGCAGACAAGATAGCGGCGTCGGCGCACGGCGGCGCCCACCACGGCTGCTGCGGCGGCGCCCACCAGCACGGCATGCCGGCCAAGGGGCCCGCGGTGGACAGCTGCTGCGCTGTGGAGGTGCTGGCAGGTGGGCATGGTCGCCGCAAGGAGCATCCTGGGGCTATGTGGGACCGTTTTGGGAGGGAGGCGCTGCCTGCCCAGCTCCCCCCCGGCCTGCCTGCCGTTGTGCGTGCGTGGAAATGCGTGCTTTGTGCTTCCGTGTGTGTGCTAAGACGCGCACGATCCGCGTGTGCGGCAGGCATGGACATAGCGGAGCGCGGGTCGGGCCGCCTAGACAAGCACAGCGGCGAGCAGGAGGTGCAAGGCCTGCTGGAGCGCACGCCGCCTCGCAACGGCGGGCTGGGCAGGCAGCACAGCGGCGGCGGCGGCGGCGGCGGCGGCGGCGGCAGCAGGCTGTCCCATAGCCCCGGCGGAGGGCACAGCACGGCAGACCATGCGGTGGTGGCAGTCAACGGCAGCGGCAGCTTTGCGGACGGGCGCTTTGGGGAGCAGGAGAAGGAGGGCGGCGGCGGCGGTGGCGGCAGCGGCTTTGCCCGCGTCAGCGTGGACGGCTTCGCGGCGGGCCCCGGCGGCGGTGCCGCCGGCGGCCGCCGGCGCCAGGGCCTGCAGCGCGACAGCAGCGAGAGCCTGGTGTTTGAGGTGGAGCCGCCCAGCTCACCGCTGCTGACGCCCGGCTCCGCCTCGCGCCGCAGCGTGTCGTTTCTGACCGCCATGCTGATGGGTGTGGCCCTCTGCTTCCACTCGCTGCTGGAGGGGGCGGCCATGGGGGCGCAGACCACCATCAGGTGCGGCGGCCTGGGCCCCGTGGGCCTGGCTGGTGGGCTGGGCCGTGCCTGGCCCCCGCTCGCTCGTGTCATCCGCTCCTCACCCACTCCTCCACCTCCCACCCTCACCCATACACACCACCACATCCCCCCTCCCTGCCCGCACCCGCAGCAACTCGCTGCACATCTTCATCGCCATTGTGAGCCACAAGGGGCTGGCCGCCTATGCACTGGGCAGCTCCATCGTCGACTCTGACGCCTCCATGCAGCGCTTCTGGTCCGTGGTGCTGCCCTTCACCTTTGCCTCCCCCGTCGGCATCTTCATCGGATACGTCATCTCCGATGTTGCCAAGGGGGTGGGCGCAGCATCCATCTCGGCGCTGGCATCCGGTGGGTGCGCCGCCTGTGCTTGTGGGCCTGTGTTTGTGGGGTGGGGGGCGGGCAGTTGCAGAAGCGGGGAGGGCTGTGTGGCTGCCGAGCGTGCACGTGCGTGCGCCGGTCGCGGGCCGGGACCATGCGGGGCTCGCACCCGGCAGCCAGCCGGCTGGCCGTCCGGCTGGGCGGCTCCGCGGCTGCGCCCGCTTGGCGCCTCCTGCACGCCTCCTCGTCCCGGTGGCCGGTGCCCGCGGCCTTCCCCTGACACAGCCCTGCACCCTCCTTCTTTATAGTCACCCGCACCCACACCCACTCACCCCCCCCACACACACACTCCCGCACCACCGCAGGCACCTTTCTGTATGTTGCCTTCATGGAGGTGATCCCCAAGGAGCTGCGGGACGGCTCCCGCATGGCCCTCAAGCTCGCCGCCCTGCTCGTCGGCTTTGGCCTCATGAGCCTGCTGGCCGTGTGGGCGTAGCACGGGGGCAGCGCCCGGTGCACTCCTCCTACCCTGCCACGGGTTCATAGTACCCGCCTGGGTGTGCTCGCCGCCTGCGGGCCCTGCTCCGTCGCAGCGCCGCGTGTTTTTCGTTTTTGTTCGAGCTGCTGCTGCTGACTGTCTGTCTTCCTTCTCCCCACTGCTGCTCTCCGATGGTCACCATCATGCCACATATGCGCGCGCGTGCATGCATGCATGCTCATGCCATGCATGTGCACGCGCCCCGCCCCAACCCCCGCCGACTCCTTGTCACGAGTCGGTTCCGCTGCTGCGCCCTCCCCTCGCTGTTTTTATTCCTTTGCTCGCTTTCCTTGAGCTCTTATGTCCTGCTGCTCTCCTGTGACGAAAACTCGCCGCACCGGCAGCCAACACCCGAGCTGCTCCCCATTCGGCGGCCCAACAGGCCGGCATGTTGTGTGGATGGCGCCGGGCATCTTGCAAGCAGGCTGCCGATGAATCCCAACGCGAGGCATCCATGGGCAGCACCGCAACCAGGGCACCATAAAACCTGCGGTGGCCGGGGCGGCGCCATGCTGCGCTGGGCTCCTGGCGCTTGGCGCCACCAGGATGTGGCTGCTCCTGTCGGCGGCGCAGCCGCTACCAACTCCAAACTTCCGGCACCGCCAAGCACGAAACATGACACAAAGCTAGCGGCATGAAGATAGCCACCACCCCCTCAGCCGGGATGATGCAGGCGGGGTTGCAGGCCAGCGCCAGCAAGCTGAAGCTGGACAGCCTGTTCCTGCAGTGGTTCTCGATGCCCGACACGCAACGATTGGTGAGGCCGATGAAGTGCGGCGCCAACACTTTTGAGCTCGCAGGCTCCGCAACCCGGGTGCCGCGCTCTGCAGGTGCTGGAGCTGCTGGATGATGTGAAGCATGGGCGGCGGACAGCGCTGGCGGCCGGCTCCCGCAAGAATGGCTCCCCTTCAAACCAGGTGCCGCCGCCCGCCCCTGCCACCACCCCCCTTCGGAGCCTGCTGCATCTCTGCAGACCCCCAGGCTGTGTGGGCAGCCCTGATTTGGATGCTACTGCGCAGCATCAAGCTTTGCGCTGCTGCCATGGGACACCAGAGCTGCCATGGGATGCCTGTGCTCCGCGCCAGCCGCCTCGCCGTGCGGCAGCAGGAAGTGGCTGCGACCTTGAGCGGCAGCCCGCCCGCTCACTCCTGGCATTCCCTGCGCCGCGCCTGCCCGCCCGCCTGTGCCTGCAGCCGCCGCTGTCCCCTAGAAAAGTGGGAGTGCCGCAGTCGCCTGTGTCTCCCACATACAAGCCCGTGCCGCCACTCAGGCTACCGCCGGTGCGCCGCTGCCGCCGCCGCTTGGCCGCCTGCCGCGGTCAGCCTGGAGGGTGCCTGCCCCCCTGCCCGCTTGCTTGCCTGGCGGCAGCGCTAATGCTGGCGCGCCGCGGCCTGCGCCGCTGGCCCGGCCCCGCCTGCCCAGCCGTCCCGTCCCGGTCCCCAGGCCACGCCCTCTCCCTCCCCCTCCTCCCCTGCCCCTCCCGCTGGCCCCGGCGCAGTCCCCGCAGCTGCTCACCATCCCTCAGTTCTACTTCCCCCAGCTGGGGCCGCAGCCCGAGGCGCAGCGGGCGATGGAGGGGCGGCTGGTAGGGCTGCTGTCGGCGCAGCCGCAGGGGCTGGCCGTTGACGACCTGAAGCGCATGCTGCAGCAGGTGGGGGCCCGCTGTGGTACGCGGGTGTGTGTAGCTGTGCGTGCGTGTGCGTGCGTGCGTGTGTGTGTGCGTGTGTGTGTGTGTGCATGTGTGTGTAGTCTCTGCGTCTGCCTGCGTCTGTGAGGGCAAGGAGGCTCGCTGCTTGCACGTGCACGCTCCGCTGTTGTTTCCTGTGCCTGGCGCCCACGCCTCGCATGCAGCGGCGGCAGACGGTCCTGCGCCTCGCAGCCGGCCATCCCTCCCTCCCGCCGCCGCCCTCACCCGGCTCCCTACCTATGTGCCCCACCCCCCTGCCCCAGATCCTCGACCTCCCCTCCTCCCTGGCCTACCCGCTGTTCCACAAGCTGGCGGGGAAGGGCGAGGAGCGGGTGGCACCTGCGGCGCTCATGCAGTGGGCCTCCTCCCACAACCTGTGTGGCGCACCGGAGCTGCGCCGCGCCTTTGACATCCTGCGCCAGGTCAGCGGCCCCGCCAGTGCGGCTCCCGTCAGCTCGGCAGCCCACCCCGCCCATCCCGCCGGCTCGGGTCATGCCCCCCCAGCCCCCTTCGCTCACACACACACACATACATACCTCCCTGCTCCCCAGCCTCGCGTTCACCCCTACCTCCCCGCTGCCCAGCCCCCACGCCACGCAGCACCAACCCCTCTGCCCTACCCTCCCGCCCGCCCTCCCACCTGCCTGCCCGCCCGCCGTTGCCGCGCCCCATGCGCAGGACCACGCCGGTGCGGTGGTGCCCGAGGACCTGCGCCCGCTGCTGGCTGGCATCCTGCTGAGCCACCCGGGGCTTGAGTTCCTGCAGGAGGCGCCTGAGTTCCAGGAGAGGTGCGCTGTGCTGTGCCACGCTGTGCCTGCTGCACCGTGCTGTGCTTTTGCTGCATGCTGGGCGGCACCTGCTGCCTTCTTGTGTGTGGGGCGGCTGCGTAGGGACTCGAGGCCCGGTGCTGTGGGCGTTGCCGGGGGGGAGGGGGGCGCTGGGGCCCGGAGGTGCACGGGGGCGAGGGCCGCGCGCGTGTTGCGCCCCACCCACCCTGCTGCCTGCCTGTCCTCCCGCCTCCTGCCTCCCCGCCCAGGTACGCCGAGACGGTCATCCACCGCCTCTTCTACCACAACAACCGACTGGGGGACGGCCGCATCTCGTGGCGAGAGTTCCGCAGGCGAGCGCCGCGCGCCAAGGCCGGCCGGCCGATGCGGCGCCCATGCGGCTGTGGCGAGGGGCGCGCGGGCGTTGGATGGTGGGGCGCGGGCCGCGCGCGGCACCGCTG